AATAAGATACTCCTCGTGGTTTGATCTCTCTGATATTTCACAAATATCATAAATTAAAACATTTCATGAGAATCAGAGAAATCAAGAAATAGTTCCTCACGTCTGTGTAAATCTTTTTGAAAAGTTTCCTGCAGCAGAAAATTTTTAAAATAAAAACATCATGGAGGATTTTAAACATTTACAAGCAACACACACACACACACACACACACACACACACACACACACACACTCACTGCAGCGTCTATTGGTTCATAATGTGACAGATTTGTTCATGTGAGTCCAGCTTTTGACCTTTACAGCAAATCTTCCTCTCTCTCTCACTCACACACACACACACACACACACACACACACACACACACACACTCTCTCTCTCTCTCTCTCTGCATCATCTTTGTATCTCATGTTTTGTATAATTGCAGTATAAAAAGCTGTATTTGTGTTTTAATCCCGTTGACGTGTTTGTCACAGGTGATTTCTGACTCTTTGTGACTCGTTTAGCTCTTCTTTGATCGGGAAACGAGTGAGCAGAGAGCCCCGAGCTGCGTCACATGTTGGCAGGACGATGCAGATGAAATAAAAAGCACAGACCTGAGAGAGAACAAGCAGGTGATGTAGCCGTCAAAAATATCACCTAAACGAGCGCACAGACGACACAGACGGAAGAATTATCAGTGAGCTGCAGCACGCTCGTCTGATGAGAGTTACAGTTCATTTATCTTTAGACACACACACACACACACACACACACACACACACGTTCTGTGTGTGAAATGCCATCACCCCAGAAGTAGGACAGAATGTATTCGTCCGGATCAAAGCGGAGGAGTCCAGGGACAAAAGTGATGAACTTTAAACTTCTGTTCATTTGTGTCCAAACTGTGAGCGGACATTTCAAGTTTGGTCTGATTCGGACTTTACTTTACTTTTGACCATCAAATACTCGTGTTGACAACAGGGCTGTGGAACGATGAAAATGTTTAATCAAGATCAATCGCATGTTTGAAATTTTGCATTTCAAAATAAAAAAAGTGTAGGCTTTTATTTTTAATTTTTGTCCTGTCTTAAGGTGAGAGTACTTTACTTGCTGAGTGCTTTTATTTTGAAATAAAGTAAGGAGCTTCTGGTGGAACTGAGACCACAGGGAGACACTGAGGACGACTATCTACAGTGATCCTGAAGGGACAAAATAACTTATCCCATGTGCTCTTTTTGTAAAGCGAACCGGAGCTTTAATAATAATGACTGATTGATGTCTTCTTCTCCTTGTATTAAACGCCATGATGACGGTGTGGATGTTCCAGTCAGATTTGACCTGCTGGAGTTTATATTTTATATTCTTGAGTCTACTAAGACGCTCTGATCGTCATCGTTCCTGACTTTGTGCCATGTGACCTGTCAGGTGACCTCGGGGTTATATATATAAATGTGGGGCGTGTCTCTGCTGCGTGCTGTTTGATATTTTTGTGTAAATCTTTCATGTCAACCTTCGACTGTTCGATGTTTTCCTGCACAGATTCGACCTGAGGATTTTCTTTCTTTGTGTGTTTTTTTTAAATCTGCCTTTGCTTCACATCTTTTTTATCCTCCTTTCTTCATCAGCAGTTGATCCATATTCCTTCATTATGATCGTGAGAAAAGGTCGTCTTTGATGCTTTAACTGTAAACTCAAACGGCGTGTAGCGATGAAATCCTCCGCTCGGAGAGAAAGTCTAACCTCCTTTAAAGAACAGAAACATCCTCCTCTGTCCCCGGCTTGTTTCCACACACAGTCTGACAGGCTTTCTGCCCCTCCTGCAGACCAAGTGACCCTGAATCTGTTTAGAGGCGTGAATAACGCACACACACACACACACACACACACACACACACACACACACACACACACACACATTTAAACTTGGGGTCGACGCCCCCACATTTTTTAAAAGCCTGACAGAATTTTTGACATTTTTGAAGATATATTTTGGATTCAAAAAATCATAAAAATTCAAATAGTAAATAATTGAATCCTCAAACTGAACTCTTTCTGAACAACACGATGAAGATTTAAACTACTGACTGGTAGTTGGTTACTGCTGGTTTAAGAACTGCTCAGAGCTCTGTGTTACATTTATTCACATTATGAAATAATCTGTCAGTAATTATGCCGTGAGGACTCAGTGGCATCAGATAGCTGATCAGACGGATCAAGACGTAACACCGCTCATGTCTCTGATTGGAAACGTCATTCTTCAATTTGTATTTATTTTGACCCCACTCTAACTTAATTATTTAATTAACTTAATAATTTAGGCTTGCATGACACCGCTGCAAACACACACACACACACACACACACAAAGATCTTTTTTTCCTCTCCATGATATAAACATTCTTCACTGAGTATATTTCTTAACGAGGGTTTTCCTCTCCATGATTTCTGAGTTTAAATAAAGTTGTGATAATATTAAAAAGAACTGAGGCTTCAAAATAAATGTTTTTTCAAAATAAAGGGACGAAGGAGTCCATTAACAATTATCAAACACGTTAGCTCGTAGTGTGTCCTTCAGACTGAAGCTCCGGCCTGAACTCAAACACGGGCTGAAAACAAATGATCACGAGACAGTGGGGGGACGCAGGGGAGCCGTCATTTCAGGTTCTCAGAGCTGGAATAGGGGCGTCATGGGAACGGATCTCTGAAGGCCGGGACGGAGACATGAGAGGCAAAGTGGGGGAGGGGGGGGAGTTACTGAGAGACATCGGCACTGAGGGTGGATCCTGATGTAATAAGACGGAGTGCAGGAGTTTGTTGGTGAATTAGAATAATCGATTGTTTGTGTCTTCTTGTTCATTTATGATCTTTTATTTTTCTTGTTGTTATTGTGTGTGTAAATATGTGTGTGTGTTTCTGTCTATGTTTACGTTTATTTTCTTGATACACTCTGTAAATTATTTTCCTTATTACAGTTTTCATGAGTAGAATTGAGTCAAATACTAATTATAAAAAAATACAAAGATTACAGAATATTTGTCTTGGACTTCTTGCCGTCTGAAGAGGCCTCGATGAGGTTTGAAGATTTTTAAATCGTATCCGCGTTTTAACATAATCAAAAACAATAAATCAAACGATGTAATGTTTGGATCTTTTTAGCTTTATTTAAAAAAAAATATTTTGTGATTTCAGAAAGAGTTCAGCATCATTTTCATTTAGTCCGCCATCGTTCCCTTAACAACGACAGTGACGACTGAGAGAGGAACACTTTGACTTGAACTATTTCAAACTATAGATTGATGTCAGGCGTCAGAGCCCCCCTCCTCCTGATCACCCCCCCACCCCCCCCACCATGACGCTCGGACCCTGAGCTCATCAAAGCTCAAACGGACTCTGTGGTGTTAGCTGGCTGAGGTTCTGTTTACTGAGCTCTCTGTGACCCGTCCAGGTCTTTGACACTGACGGGGGGTGAGAGAGAGAGAGAGAGAGACAGAGCTCTTCATAACTCAGCAGGGCCCTGTTGTGTTCCTTAAGGACAGAGGAGATTAAAAAAGAAGAGGACAGGAATGTGCTCAGAGAGGAGGGGGGAGGAGGGGCAGAGGGTAACTGCATGAATGAATGCATTAATTAAATTAATGAACGAATGAATCGGCTGTTTTGTTTTCTACGACCACAGCCTGTTTGGTGGTGTTCCCAGCTCTCCGGAGCGAGCACCGCCTCATTAAAGCGCTCCTCACGTCCCCGTCGAGTCGACACACACACACACACACACACACACACACACACACACACACACACACACACATACACACACACGACAGAAAGCCGCCTCATGTCAGAGGACACAAACATGACAGACCTGTTTCTAAGCTAACGGAGCTTTATCCTCGTCTGCAGGCTGAGCAGCGAATCAAAGCGCAGCAGACTCTCAGGAGAGTGAGCAGTATGTAAACGTGGAGCAGCGTCAGCATGAACACTGATTGTTGGACACACTGAAGGGCCTCAGGTGACGCCATGATGGATGTTATTAAAACCAGCTTTCATTTCCCACCTCAGCGTCCTGATGGACGCCATGCTCATCAGCCGAGCCCGCCGGGTGCTATAGATCTGCCCTCTCAACCTGTGCCTCAAACAGTCACATCAACTCTCCGTCAGAGGAGGAGCACGGCTGCAGTTCTTACCGGAGGAGTGGCCTCGGTTGGTGGCATCGTGGTCACTGTCTCCCTGCTCGCTGTCGCCGTGGCCGCTGTCTTTGGAGCTGACCAGGTCGGCCTCCTGGAACGCCGAGCTGAAACGAGACGGAGAGGACGTTAGATCAGCAGAGTGGTGTTTCCAGGGAGATGGTTTCTAAAAACATGTAGGGGGTTCTGGTCTTACCTGTTGACACGTCGCGGCCGCTCCACCAGGTAGCTGAGCTCGGCTCGCTGGTGTTTGGTCTGAAAGAGAAGGAGGCGCCATCAGAGAGGAAAAACATGTTTATCTCAGCTGTCCATCACACATGTCACTTATGATCGGTGTGATGAAGGGGGGGGGGGCGGTCTTTTCTCTAAAAGGGGGGGGGGGGGAGGGGGAGGAGTCTTTACAGATATGTTGCCAAGGAGCAGGATGAAGTAACAGCAGAGTCGCACGTCTCTGTCGTAGTCAGCAACACTGTGAGCAGTATGCTTATTGTGAACGCACCCCTCCCCCCGGGACTGTCTCACACTCACACACACACACAGACAGTCACACACACACACACACACACACACACACACACACACACACACACACACACACACACACACACACACACACACACACACACACACACACACACACACACACACACACACACACACACACACACACACACACACACACACACACACACACACACACACACACACACACACACACACAGACACACACACACACACAGACATAGACACACACACACAGACACTCACACACACACAGACACACACACACACACAGACAGACACACACACACACACACACACACACACACATAGACATAGACAGACAGACAGACAGACAGACAGACAGACACACACACACACACAGCAACCAGCAGCCTCTGAGCCCTTCTTTTTCTACATTACTTTGATTTTTTTTTACATGTCAAAGCAGAACATAAACATGCACTATGCCCCCCCCCCCCGAGGAGCTGCAGGAAACATGTCAACCCGTCTCATCACTGTGTTTACTGTAACACCCCCCACAATCCTCTCCTGCAGACGGCTGCAGCATTTTGTCATCGCCCTGCATGACTCTGAGCCAGGAGGGGGGGCTAGGGATGGAGATGGCTCCTCTGAGCTGGCGGGGGGGGGGGGGGGTTAGGGATGGAGATGGCTCCTGGGACCGGATCTGAGGGGGGGGTCCTGAGTTTGACCAGGATTCAGACATGCTGAGGGGCTCTGAATGGAGGGGGGGGGGGGGTTACACTGTAGGCACAGAGGGACTCTTACCTCATTGGATAAAATGCTGCCGTTTGATATGATGTCAGGCTGCTGGTCAGTGTACCCTGTGACTACGGCCCCGCTGCACGGGTTGTGCTCCGTGTCTGAGCTCCGTGATGGACTACACGGCTTTAGGAACATGAGGTCGGTTTTGGCGGACTCTGGAGTCAGACATACCTGGTAGCAATAGTTCTGGTTTTGGTGGTGTGAGCCGAAGCTGCCTGACTCCTCCACGGGGACCTGTGCGGTCCCGGCCCCGCTGACGTTACCCGCGCTCTGAACCAACATGATGTCCGACTTGCTGAGTTTCTTCTTGCGGGCGCGGCCCCCCCTCGAGCAGCAGGTGGTGCAGCCCAGGCAGCAGTCGCTGGTCAGACACGTGTAAATGTTCAGCTTCTTGTCCTTCTGGCAGCGCACGGCCAGCACGATCATGACCAGCAGGAAGATGAAGGAGACCGAGCCCAGGGCGATGATCAGGATCAGGGTCAGGTCCAGGGTGCCCTCTTTGGCCTTGGCGGCGCCCCCCCTTTCCCCGTTGCCCCGGCCCTCCGCCACACTGTCCACCAGCACCACCATGACACTGGCGCTCGAGGACAGAGGCGGCTGGCCGTGGTCTCTGACCTCGATCAGCAGGTCGTACAGCTGGTGGGGGTCTCGCTTCACCGAAACCCGCCGGGCAGTCCGCAGCTCGCCGGTCCTCCAGTCCATGCGGAACATCCCGTTCTCGTTGCCCCTCTGGATGCTGTAGGACAAACGTGCGTTCTCGCCGTCATCCCCGTCCATGGCCACTATGCGGGTCACCAGGTAGCCCGGCTCGGCCGACCGAGGAAGGGGCTCCTTTGCTGTGCCGTTCTTCCCTAGAGGGGCCAGAACCAGGGGGGCGTTGTCGTTCTGGTCCACGATGATGACTTTGACCGTGGCGTTGGAGGACAGCTCGGGGGTGCCGGCGTCTTTGGCCTGCACCATGAAGGTGAAGTCTTTGAGCTGCTCGTAGTCAAAGGAGCGCAGCGCGTACAGGTAGCCTGTCTCCTCGTTGATGGACACATAGGTCTTCACTGACATGCCCTGGATTTCAGTCTCCAAGATGGAGTAGGTGATCAGAGAGTTCTGACCCACGTCCGGGTCCAGGGCCGTCACCGCGTGGATGTACGCCCCTGGCACGTTGTTCTCAGTCACATACACGTCATAGATGGGCTGCGTGAATGTGGGCGCGTTGTCGTTCTCATCTGACACCTGGACCCGGATGGACTTACTGGTGGCCAGAGAGGGTGTGCCTTTATCCCGCGCGACCACCGTGACAGAGTAGGAGTCCGCCTGCTCCCGGTTCAACGGGCCGTCCGTCACGATGGTGAAATAGTTCCTGAAGGAGGATTTTAATTTAAAAGGAACGTCTCCGAGGATTTCCACGTGAATCTGTCCGTTCTCCTCCGCGTCCCGGTCCGTCACACTGAGCAGCGCGATCACGGTCCCCGGTGCCGCCTTCTCGCTCACAGACTCGGTGACGGTGCTGAAGGTGATCTCGGGCGCATTGTCGTTCAAGTCGCTGACTTTAACGAGCACTTTGCAGTGCGCGGGGACGGCGTTCGGACCCATATCTTTGGCCTGGATGAAGATCTGGTACAAGCTGCTCTCCTCGAAGTCCACCTCCCCGCGCACCTCGACGCGCCCGGTGCGCGGGTCGATGCTGAACAGATCCTTGACACGGCTGGAGATGTGGTTGCTGAAAGAGTAAACGATTTCTCCGTTTAATCCCTCGTCCATGTCGGTGGCGTTCAGCTGGATGACCAGTGTGCCCACCGGCGCGTTCTCTGACAGATTCACCGTGTACACCGGCTGCTCGAACACTGGCACGTTGTCGTTAGAGTCCAGCACTTTCACCACAAGCAGCGCGGTGCCGGTCCGTGGAGGCTGACCTCCGTCCACCGCGGTCAACACATACCTGTGCGCCGCCTGCTGCTCCCGGTCCAGCGGCTTCTCCAGAACGAGCTCCGCGAACTTGTTCCCGTCGCTCTGGGTCTGAACATCCAGGTAGAAGTAGTTATTCGTGGTGATGTCGTACGTGCGTAAAGCGTTCGAGCCCACGTCCGGGTCGAACGCGCTCTCCAGAGGGAAGCGGGTCCCCGGAGTGGCGCTCTCGGAGATCTCTACCGTGATGTCAGTCTCCGGGAAGCTGGGCGGGTTGTCGTTAATGTCCACCACCTCGATCTCCACGCGGAACAGCTCCAGCGGGTCCTCCAGGAACACCTCCATGTTGAGCTGGCAGCTCGCGCTCTGCTTACAGATCAGCTCCCGGTCGATTTTTTCATTAACGAACAGGACTCCATTCTCAAGATTTACCTCCAGGTACGGTGTCCGGGAGTTGGGCACCACCTGGAAGCGGCGCGAGGCCAGTTTGGTAAGGTCCAGTCCCAGGTCCTCGGCGATATTCCCCACCAAGGTGCCGTGGTCCGCCTCCTCCGGCACAGAGTAACGAATCTGAGAGAGCACTCCATCCGCGATGCACAGCGCGAGCAAAAGCACAATCATCGCCGGAAAAACAAGAGCACTTGGGTAAAAAAAAAATATGATATTAAAATTATTATCCCCTGTTCACGCACAAAATGTCAATTTCCATCACCCATTTAAGTCGGCACGCAGAAGTCTCCAAAATGCGTAAAAGTCTCCAAAAACGTCTAAGGCATCCGGGGAAGTCTGTCCCGTTAAAAAAGAAACATTTTGGTATTTTAAAGGGATTTAAAATCAGCTGAAGGTATTTTTTCCCCCTCTTTTAGCTCCGCTGTGTGATCAGACGCGTCCGAGAGAAGCTGCTGCGCACATTCCCGTGAAGCGCAGCGCTGCCGGAGTGAAGGAAGCAGCCCGGAGAAGAGTTGGAAAAACACAAATCATAATCCATAGAGGAGAAAGAAGAGCTGCATGTCGTGTGTGAGCTGCTCCTGGGCTCACATTCACTGATCTCCTGCTAGTTTAACGGCTCGGTGTCCTCCCGGCGCCCGTCTTCTTCTCTGCGCTCTCCTCCTCTCCACTCCACACTGACGCTCCAAACTCAACTGTTTGCTTTTTTCCCGCATCGCGCCTCCCCCTCGCAGCCCCCGCGGCTGTAAATCACGTTGAGAGCTCTCTCCTGATTGGACGGCTGTGTTGCTTGTCACTGTCCGCTCGGCCCCTGCCTCTCTCAACGCCTCTCGGTGTCTCTCTGCCTCCCTCTCTGAGCCCGGACGCACCAGGAAAGAGAGAGAGAGAGAGAGAGAGAGACGAGAGAGCGATGGACAGTAATGACTTTAACCCCTCAGCTGCCGAATCCCGACCACACTCCCCAACTGTTAAAGGCATCATCTAATGAACACATGTGTGATTAAAGTGAGGAGGCGGGTGCTGGGGGTAAGGGGGGGGTCTTGTTGACTCGGTGCCGGGCCTATGTGGGCTTCGGGACCGGCTGGTCGAACCGGGTTAATGCATGCAAATGTTGTGATATGTATGCAGGAATCATCCGCCATTCACACGCTGCTCTTAAGGCTGTGCGCTATAATTACAGCCAGCAGAAGTAACGTTATTAACTCTCCTGCAGACTCACACACTCACAGAGAGGCAGGGACAGCAACACATCCGCGGAGCGAACACGACCCCTAGCGGCAGAAACGAAAACCAGAGTCTGATTTACATCAACGACCATTAAATATTCGGTCTGTAAAATGATGTTTAAGATAATTTAATAAATATTCCGGTGACCGTGGAGGGACAAAGGTGGAGCTTGAAGATGGAAACTGACACCCATTATTGTTTAAGAAATAAATTAGATGTGATTCTCAAAAGGGCCACAGACTACACCTCCAGACCTGCAGCTCTGTTCTCTGTGCTCCTTTAAAAACAAGACAACATGCAGCATGTATTTTCCTTTTATTCATCGATATAAGAGGACAAAAACATGTTTGCAAAGTGACGAAAACAACTCAACAAATATCTGTATTACTACATATTTATATGTTTTGTGGACATTATGACCGGGACAGGTTAGAAAGCAGTTTGATTGTTTAACACATTTAAAAGACAGACAACAAAGTTAAAAATAAAAACAAATTAAAGTTTGATTTAATGCCATTAAGCCAAAACAATTAGCCAAAACATGACGATTAAATCTGGTGTTTATGAAGCTAAAGTGTCCAAAAGGTTAAAGTGCGTTTAATGTCATCTGTTTCAGTAGTGAAGTGCAGAATTTAATAAAGAAATAAAAGAAAATATAACCGATGCAGCCGTAAAGTTTCTAAAGGCATCATGGTGTTCATATCTTTTCTCTACTTACTGTTTTATGCAGATCTGGTGCATTATGGGTAATGTGTGCTTCTCTGTCCACACCAAGGGGCAACCTCCGGTCTCGAAAAATGAAGCCAATGCGGAAGTACAAAAAACTGCAGTTCCTCGAGGTTCCGCTTGAGGCTGGCTGCAGAAGTGCCGGAAGTGCCATAAGCCCACAGCCAAAAAAGCCTGTTTTTACCACAGGAATCAACATGTTTACAGCCTGGTTCAAAAAACGAGATATATCTGATAAGTTGACGGCCCCTTCTCCTCACACTGTGGGGGGGGGGTGAATTTTTTTATAACTCATTGGATTTTATTCTATTAAGGAAAACGACTATGCCCATATAAGGGTTGTGGCAGATTTGATTGACAGCTCTGCGCGCTGCATCTGTCTGTCAGGTCAGCAGGTCAGGAGGCTAACAGCTTGATCCGTCTGATTTCTCCTCTTTTTTACTTCGTTTGGAGAGTTTGTTTAACACATATCTGACAACATACACGACTTGCTGTGCGGTTAACAGACCATCCAAGAAGTTGATGCTTCAGTTTTTTTCGGTAAGTGATATAGTAGTGTTATATTTACTGCTTACTCATGTGTCAGTATTTATATTTACGGACCTAGCTTGTTTAGCGTTAGCTTGTAAACCAGTCGGCTAACTGTGTAGCTCATTATTTACGGTCAATGGTTTAGAAATGTTTGTTGTTAAGATGTTGTTGTTGAAAATAGTGAGTTTGTGTGATGTTAGAAGCTAAAGGTTCATCTCGGTGGTTAACCACAGACTGTAAATATGGTTATCTGACGTTATGATGAATGTTATACTCCACGTAAATGTGGACATTAAAAAACAAACTTTGTGTAGTAATTATCCGTCAGTAACATAAACTGAACTGAACCTAATGTGCTGTGTAGGTTATAGAGGATGACATTAAAGTTACATGGTTGATGTAGTGTCTTAAGATTTGAGCAAACTGTTAACAAATAAAAAAAAAAAGCACTTTGTAAGAGCATCTGTAACCATTAAGAACTATATTAATAACCATATTAATTTTCACTGAACTCATACACAGAATATAGAAGTAGAAATATAAAATTTAAATAACATATGGAATGAAAATAAGATATAAAGCACATAGATATAAAGTATAAGAAATAGTTTGAAGAATACAGCCATGTACTGAGCTCATGTTAATAATACATGAGTTACTGTATGTTCTGTACTAAAGCACAGAGAGTTGGGACCTGTTAATGATTTAAATAATTCAGGTTATATTTGTTTCATGTTAAGATGAAGTACTATCCACAATAAACTGCTTAATTTTTCCTCACAAAATCTGAGACCATTTGATGTGGAATATCATTGTGTGAGTGAGTGAGAGAGCTGAAAACAGCATGATTACAATAATGTTTATCTTCTTAACTTTGAATAGATGTTGATTACCTGAATACTGTACTTTTGTTGTCTGGGTAGTACACTGTTGAATTTATAAATGTACTCTTACACACAGATGAATACAGAAAAATAGATGAGAACAAAAAAAATGATTTAATGAATAACTGCTATTTTCTCTCTTTCTTTGTCATCCTGAAGACCCCTCACTAAAAGTCCATGTTCTCCTGGATCCATGTCACATGCTTGAGCTTCTTCTGAATGACATTTCAACAGTCAAAGTTCTGCTGAGAGAAGATGTCCAGCAGATAAGACAGCAGTACATGAAGGAGCTCCACAGGCTTCAGAAGAAGGAGGAGGGTTTGCACCTTGGAAGACTGTATTCATGCTTCAGCTGTTCAAATAAAACTAGATCTCCTCCAAACAACTTGCAATCAAACCATTTTCTTCCCATTTTAAAACCCTTTGTCCAGTTTAGATGGATAGATTATTATGTGATATTGATCTGGGAAGACTACATTTCTAAATCATTTTTAACTGTTTTTATTCACAAGTTATTGATCTTGTTTACTCTCCATGTATCTTGATTTAAGAATGGGGCTGTGTTTAAGGGCATATTTTTGCAATGACTCTGTTCCATCCCATTTTCAGAAATCAACTACATTAGTATTTGGTAAAAAAAATGTCAAAAGAAGAAAAAGTTGTGTAAAAGTAGACTTCCTTCCCTTAGCTATTGAGTTGAGCATTAATGCACATTTAGTCTTGTCATTTCAAATCTAAATGTATACTCATAAGTAGACATAAGGAGTGCATTTATATAGAATATTTATTTAATCTGAAAAACAACATTAAAAAAAGTCTGTTTTTACAGCAGAGATGTACAGCTTGTACAAAACAAACAAATAGGTGTGATTAGCTCATGTCTCGATGGACACACACTGTACGGGGGTGAATGTTTTGATGACTCATCAGTTTTGATTTGATGAAGGATAAGAGTTATTCACAATAAGGCGTGTAGCTGACCAGCTTGACAGGTGGGGCGTGTAACGGTTTGTCAAGAGGTTAAAACCCGTCTCAGCTCCAGCTTCAGCCTGTGGGTGACATCACTCAGGCCATCCGGGGGAGACCTCCCTCACAGCGAGCTGTTGAAGAGAAGCAACTGAAGTCCACCCAGAAGAACCAACAAATACAGATGTTGTTGAGCTCAGGTTTCTTCCTCTGTCTCTGCAGCTCTCTGGGCACCTCGACGGACCAGTCACCAATAATCCACACTGTGTCTATAGGAGAAATACAAAGGTGTTCAATTAATGCCTCAGACAACACAAAATGTACAGTTAACTACATGTGACAGCTCAGGCTGTTTTTTTGTTATTAGCCACATCTGCAGGAATAATATTGAACAAGGTAGCTGCAACTCATCATAATAGATGCCAGTCTTAAACACTATTTTTTCTAATACTTAAAGTTTTTGGTGTGAAGCTGACACTGTCCACAGACTCCATGACTTCACGGGTTCAATAGAAAACAAATGTCTTATAATAAATACTAAATAATTATTTTTCAATTGTCATGTTCACCTCATCGCTGTTGACATCAGTAAATATAAGACACAGACATTCCTCTTTTTGTCAGAACAGTAATGAACTGTATGCTTTGTAATATTGATTTCTTCTGGATGTCTCATATTTATTTACAGTTTATGGATAAAACTTTGTTAATGTATTGCTCTGCTAACACTGACAAAGTCTAACTGCTCTGACAAATAACTAATAACCATAGTTGTATATTTAAAAAAGTGTAGTTCTAAGACTTTAATTAAATATTTGGGTTGAATATAATTAGTTTTAACTGTGTTGTAGAAAAGTTAAATGTTAACTTACTGTTTATAGAGTTTTCTCAGGACGAGCAGGAATAGGGGATGATACAGCCTAGCCGTTAGCTATGCTGTCAAGTGGACCGCTAACGTTGAGCTGAATGGGCGGAGTTAAGTCCCGCCGGTCCCGCCTTACTGCTGTTGCTAGGTTGATCCGAAGTTAGGTTGAGACTGCAAATCCAATATGGATGCGGCCCTCGATTGGACTCATTTGCTGCCTATGTAACAGACGGGTCAGGGTTCGTCCAGTAATATTTACAGTCTATGGTTCACACGTGCTTGTTTTTGTTGTTTTTTATTTAATGATTTTTCTGCAGAGTGAGACGTGACGCACTGACTGAAAGAAAGTCTGTTGAAGGTCCTGACATGGCGGTGTACTCTGCAACAAAAAAAGGCTTGTACCATTTAAAAAAGGGGGGGGGGTAACGAACAATATGTAGCCTCTGAGTTACTGTAGCTTTAAAATAAAATGTGGTTTGATTGATGTCATTAAGGATGGAGCGTGTT